GGGGCAGAGGGGTCACACCTGACCGTTTCCAAATATGATTATGTCAGAATAAACTGATTATTTCAGGCATATGAGACAAATGTGCGTCACGGGCTAAATTTAAACACTTTATGTCTGAAGGCAAGGAGACAAAATGACCCGGTCAGATGTCCTCGTAGTGGAAGCTTTATTTCACATAACAACAGCAACACGGCATATATTACATACAGAAATTAACATCTTGAAAAGGAAAGAACTGAATTTAAAATACAGGAAAAGTCTGAGAGTGTTGACTCAAAACAAGCGATAACGGGTGGTGTATTTAGAGATGGCCTGCGTATGGCCACTGTAACAGCTCCAGCAAACAAAGCCACCTCTCTTTCAGTCCGTTATTCACGTGTGGAGCCTCTCCCTGATCAGCATGCAGTTACACAGACGTCTGTTTGTAGTTCTTGGTGTCCAAAACCTTCTTTCCACACATTGCACAGATTCCTGGACACAACAGAGAGAGAAAAGAACAATGCAAAAATGGTTTAAGCAAGCATCATTATTTTATCAGAGGTTTTTGGCCTCTTTGGGGCAGCAGAACTGAACTGTGAACAGAAAACAGCAGCATCAGCTCCGTCTATCAAACTGATGAGTTTAAGTTAAATATTAACTCTCCTGTAACTATGCTTTTTGATCACATCAATTCCTGAGGAAGACCAGAGGTCCTTTTATCTGCAATATGCCCAGCCCTACTTGTGACAAATGGGGCTCCATCCATGGCAGGAAAAGTGAGTGGTCAGCAAAATATTTATTTTAATTTGAAAGGGAATTATCAAAATGGGTTTTTTTTATTATTAGTATTTCAAATGTGCAAAAAAATAGTTTAGTTATAGCTCCCTTTTTTTTTTTTAATGGACCTTTTGGTGTGCATTTGTGAGAGGTCACCAGATTTACAGGGGAAAAGGAATAAAAAATTACATGTTTTTCAATACAGTTGTGTGGTTTTGAAATTGATCATGATCTGCTGCTTACTGGCTGCTAAAAAGTATCTGCCCCAGATAAATTCCTCGGTTTGAAAATCTGGCCCAACTAACTTCTTAGTTGAATAGCCATGCATTATAGGAATACATAACTGTTTTGACCTCACTTTCATGTTAAAGTTTCCAAAAACATCCAAGCCTCAAGCAGGCTGTTCTTTTGTAACCCTGTTGTTGAATTCGTATTTGCCGAACCACGTGGGAATGAAGCTGTCATGCACTGTACTTTGCCCTATTCATCCTTTGTATTTGTTATTATATTTGCCCCTTGCTTCTTTATCTGGCCTGATAACCTGTAGCCACACTGGACCATGTAAGTAACATGAAGATCAACATATCTATACCTTTTGAGACATAATGTCATTTGTATTATCTAATGTAAACAGCTAGCACTGTCAGCCATGCTACCTTTGAACTGTTAAACTAATCTTCTTGAAAGATTAAATCTTAGACCACTCAGGCAAATGCTGACTTCAGAACTACGGAAGAGGGACTGTTCATTGATCTGACTGACTCAAGAACAAAGATCTAGTCCAAGACCTTTAGTAGATATAAAATAGATTAAAGAGGGGGAAAAGCCCACCGCAGGTCAGAGTCCTCTCACATTCCCAGCTACTGCCACATCCTAATCTGAGCATTTTTGCCTCAATTTAAAGACAAAAAAAGAAAAATAAGTAGATGTGTCAGAAGCAGTTGCTTAACGGTTTTCAGAGCTTAAAGCTGTGAAGAAAAGCAAGACTACAAGTATAATGTTTACAAAGAACATCTGTGTATTGATCTGTGTATCATGCAGAGAGGCAGTTTTGTTAGAATCTGCTGAAAGCAATAAATGCATTCAAGTTTTGGACCCACAATAGCATTCCTGCATGGTAAGCAGTGCGACTTTGTACCTTTCTTGTATGCACAGCCCTGGCAGTAGTGTGATCCAGCCTGATGAACTGAGCTCTTGCAGATCCTGCAGATAGCAAAGCCGGACTTGCTGTAAGGGTCGAACCTGCGATGGGAAAGAATTATAGACACATAACTACAGATGCCGTAAAGTTAGCGCCATGGCTGTAATGAATTAGCAAGTTAAAATGGTGATTTTCATGCGAGAAAGTATGTAGGTCTTCTATGTGAAAATAGAGACGCTGATGGCGCTCACCTGGCTTTCTTAGAAGTCAACATCTTATTCTCATTTAGTTTGCGCCCACCACTCTCTGATTGGAAAAAGCAGAAAGGATCCAATCAAACATCATCATTAAAGTAACATCACATTAAAACCACAAAAAAAGCTTCTGTGCAGGCCGGTAGTCCTGTATCACCACTCAGCCTACACTTGTGAAAAGAAAGTGCCCCATCTATCAGTTCTAAGCTTTTGCAGATCAGGACATAAATAAAAACTTCAAAAACAACATCAGATGAACAACAATACATCTTACACCGTGTGATTGTTTCCTTGAACAAAAACTAAGCAGAAATGGATAAATTGTGTATAAAAACCTAAGTGAACAACATGATTCAGGCATGTGTTTATGCATAGTGGCATTTCCATTAGGTAGAGGTCTGGACTTTGACTGGGCCATTGCAAAACCTTGATTGTTTTACTTTTCAGACATTCAGCTCTATATTCGCTGCTGCTCTTGGGATCATTGTCCTGTTGCATCAGCCAGATTTTAGCTGTTGGACAGAGGGCCTCACAGATAAGTCTATGATCAACTCAATGACTGCAAGGTGACCAGGTCCTGTGGCTGCAAAACAACCCCAGATCATAACTCCTTCCCCATCGTGTTTGTGCTGACACGTTGTGTTTGATTTTCTCCATGCACAGTGTTACGCATTATGGCTATTCTGATCTCTTCTGTGCAAAGAACCTTGCTCCAAAAGTCTTTTGGTTTGTTCAGATGCAACTTGGCAAACCTAAGCTGTGCTGCCATGTTTGTGTTAGAGAAAAGAGGCTTTCTTCTGGTCTTGTGTGAATTTGCAGGCACATTCATTCCTGGGAAGATTGAAAGTTTTCCACTTTATAATAATTTTTAATCACTGTAGAATGATCAAACTATAAACAGACTGATGAACAGCAACAAATGCTTCTCTAAGATCATTGCTGACATCTTTCTTCCTTGGCATTATGTTAAAATACAACTGAATGCTCCAGACAAGCAAATTGCTAAAACCTATGCTTTTATAGAGATGCTCACACTTGCTGTTGATCAAACCAAAACTAAATGGATTTGACTATCAGTCCCTGAATGCTACCTACCCTCTTAATTCCTACAGTAAGGGTGTTAGTTTTTACAGGACTGCAGGATTATAGTAAAGGGATAAATTATGCTGAACTGACATTTTTCTTTGTGCTTTTGTGCTTTTGCACTGGAAAGATGAGCTAGGTCATTGGTAATGTCTGCCATGTGCTAACTGCCTAATGTTACTTATAATGCATGGTGTCTGGCCAAAAAAAAAAAAAAATGTTTAGCCCGTGCAACAGGGACACTGATTGATTAATGTACAGTTTATTGCCCACTTCAAATATGAAGAGAAAGGTTATACAAACCAGGAAGCACTGGATCTCAGTTAACTGTTCTCATAGACCAATGATTGATATCACCTAAGTGGGTAAAAACTTTATTCTTTCCTTTCATGTTTTTTCTGTAATTACCAGTAACAGATGCTAATAAGATGTGCTCTTGAGAGTAGCTTTACATTAAAAGTTATAGCCTTTGTTTCACTGGACAAGATTATTGGTTCTTTCATTTGGGGAGGGAAGCCACCTAGGGTTTCTAAAACCTTACTGCAGCGATGCAGATTTAGTGGAGGATTTGCATTACCTAATTTTCTAGCCTACTACTGGGCCGCTTACATCCATAAACTTTGCTACTGGCTAAAATCTTCTGGTTCCTCGTGGTGTAAATTGGAGCTATCATCATGTAAGGGCTCTTCTATACCAGCTTTGCTCTATTCCTCTTTACCCGTAAAACCCTCTCTGTATACTGATAATCAATTGGTTCTTAACACACTCAAAATCTGGTTTCAGTTTAGACGGCACTTTAATTTTGTAATGCTATCTTCCTCGGGTCCTCTAAGCGACAACTATTTGTTTCCCCCTTCACTCTTGGACTCAACATTCTCAGTGTGGTGTGACAAGGGTATAAAACAGTTCAAACATTTATATGTGGATGGTGTTTTCGATAGTTTTCTCAATTTGTCTTCTCGTTACGATCTCCCTATTACCCATTTGTTTTGCCATTTTCAAATTTGAAATTTTGTTGCCAAGAGTTTCCCAAATTTCCCGTCTTTACCTCCAGAACAGCAGTGGGAAACTACGTTATCATTTATTCTTCATCACAGAGGAACCATTTCGAAACTCTATGATACTATCTTGTCTTTTAGTAACCACTCTAATGTTAAGCTTAAGTGTACATGGGAAGGAGACTTGGAATTCAAATACACGAGGAGTCTTGTGAACAGGCTATAGCGAGGGTACGGTCTTCCTCATTCCTGCGTGGTTCGGCAAATACGAATTCAACAACAGGGTTACAACAGCCTGCTTGAGGCTTGGATGGTTTTGGAAACTTTAACATGAAAGTGAGGTCAAAACAGTTATGTATTCTTATAATGCATGGCTATTCAACTAAGAAGTTAGTTGGGCCAGATTTTCAAACCGAGGAATTTATCTGGGCCAGATACTTTTTTTGCAGCCAGTAAGCAGCAGATCATGATCAATTTCAAACCCACACAAACTTTTTCCCCTGTAAATCTGGTGACCTCTCACAAATGCACACCAAAAGGTCCATTTAAAATAAAGGGAGCTATAACTAAACTATTTTTTTTTTTTGCACATTTGAAATAATAATAAAAAAAAACCCCATTTTGATAATTCCTTTCAAATGAAAATAAATATTTTGCTGACCACTCACTTTTCCTGCCATGGATGGAGCCCCATCCGTCACAAGTATACAGACACGCTTCATATCCAGACCATTTTCCTCAAAAAGAGCTGAAATCTTCTCAAACATTATTTCGCCAGCTGTGTGTCCCTCTAACGGTAATAAGCTGAGCAATTTTGCATCCAAAAAACAGACATATATGCACAACTGTGCATTATCAGTTCTGTCTGTGAACCCATCTCCTGCTATAGATATTACATCAGTTTTCTTCAGGTCATCTAACAGCATTTCAAACTGTTCTGACGCCAGAACTTAAACTCTACGAATATTTGAACTGTCTGACAGGGTTACGCTTTTAATAGCAGATGTCACACTTTAATTTTTTCGTCACTTATCACCACATCCACCACGGCCAGCATGCAGTATTTCACATTTGTTTCCCAAATTTCCCGTCTTTACCTCCAGAACAGCAGTGGGAAACTACGTTATCATTTATTCCTCATCACAGAGGAACCATTTCGAAACTCTATGATACTATCTTGTCTTTTAGTAACCACTCTAATGTTAAGCTTAATTGTACATGGGAAGGAGAACTAGGAATTCAAATACCTGAGGAGTCTTGTGAACAGGCTATAGCAAGGGTACGGTCTTCCATCTCCTGTGCTCGTCTTGGACTTATTCAATTTAAGGTCATACACAGGGTGCATTTCTCTAAGTCTAGACTTTCTGAATTGTATCTAGAAGTGGAAAATAAATGTGATAAATGCCATGGCTCTCCTTGTCACCTTAGTCACATGTTTTTTCTGTGTCCTGAGCTGGAAGGTTTCTGAACAGGGTATTTTGCTATTATGTCAACTGTTCTTGGGGTAACTCTTCATCCTTGTCCTCTAATTGCTGTATTCGGGATTCCTGATCGCTCACTTACACTTGATTCTACACAAAAGGATATTATAGCCTTCACATCCTTATTAGCGAGACGTTGGAAGTCTGTTAAGTATCCTACTATTTCCCGGTGGCTTAAAGATGTCATGTTTTTTTTTAAAACTTGAAAAAATTAAATATACATCGAGAGGTTGCACAGCCAAATTTTTCCACAAGTGGCAACCCTTTATTATACTGTTCTATTCCTGTAAAAAAAAAAAATAATAATAATTATATATATATATATAACACCCAGCACGCCCCTGCGGGCGGTTTATCCTTCAAGCTCG